TTTGTATTTAAGGGAGCAACATTTTGTTTAAAAAAAAATTCTCAGTGTACGATGTTAGACATACATTTCACCAATTCATGCTGACCTTTTCTAACTGATCCTTAGATATGATTAGTGATCTTTGAGAGACCTGAGGAGTTTTTTAAAAAGTGCTAATATAGAATTAGTTACGAGTAATAGAAAACATACAAATTTTCCTAATATGCCATCATTTCACCTTTTTTTCCTACCAAATTTCTTAAAAGATTATTCTCTACTCCCCTTTTCCTTTTCATCATTTACATATTCACTTTTTTGACTCTTGGAAATCAGGTTCATCTTCCAACCTTTTACTCTTCAAGTAAATTGCTCTTTAAGATGACCGTTTAAAAATTCTTTTTTCCTCTCCCCTCCCCTCTCCTCCTTTCCCTTTCCCTCCCTCCTCCTCCCTTCCTCCTCCTCCCTTCCTCCCCTCTTTTCCTTTTCCTTCTCCTTCCCTCCCTTTCCCTCCCTCTTTCTCCCTTCCCTTTTCCTCCCCCTTTCTCCCCCCCATCCTCCTTTTGCCTTCCCTCCTCCCTCTCCTCCTTTCCCTTCCCCCTCCTCCCCTTCTCCTCCTTCCCTCCCCATAACAAATGAAGTGCAACCAGAGGTGCCCACAGATCATAGAATGTATTAATCTCTCCAGGAGCACCTGAACAAGAAACTGATACTAGGTTTCTGAGTCTAGAAGACAGGGCTTATTATGGATGGGGTTTTAATTTAGAGCATCAAAGCATGCAGGTGACCAGGGAAGTTTCAGAAGATTCATATTGCCAGATAGCAGCTGATCCAAACTCATTTCTTATAAACTAACCATTTAGAAAACAGGTTTTTATAAAGAATCCTAATTGGGTAGAGAGAAGGTAAAGGACTGTTTCTTCTATAGGAGAAATCAAATAACTTTTTTGAGGGGGTGGGAAGCAAGTATTAGGACACCCTTAAAAGGGGTATAGAATGACAGGTGATAATGCAAAGGACCATATCACCTCAAAGCACTTCTTGTGAACAATCGCTTTTAAAAGTACATAGCCAACTGAACTACCTATTGTCAGGTAGTTAGAGTTTTTGGGTAGTCAGAATTTATATGCCTCTCCCTATTTCATGTGTTTTAGAACTTGGAAAATTCAGAAAATTCTTACTTAGTTCAGTTTTGGGTTAAGTGCTTTGGTCAGGACAGAATATGGCAAGTTGGGAATTGAAGACTGGATTTTAGTGTTACTCTGGTTCATTCTCTGGTACTTTCAGCTGGAAGAATGGGAACTCTTGGTTTGCTAGTATGAACAAGCATGTATTTAGGGATTTCACTGTTTAGTCACTTGGCTTCCTGTGTAGGAGGATTGTATTGGTGGATCTCCTGGGAGGTTGATGCATTGCTGGAAAACGGAGAGTGAAAGCTTCTGGACTTCCAGCCTAGAATTTATGTCTGGATACCTGTCTCTATGTTGGCAGAAGTTTTTCTACTGTGGACTTGTAGAAGGGGATAGTGAATTTCACTAGTATAATTTTTTGATCGCAGATATGAGACAGGAATAATCAATCAGTTGTTTAGACAGGATAAACATAGAGAAATGAAAGGCCTCACACATCTTGTGTGTCAGTAGGTTTGTGTTTTTTTCATCTCTGGAGATAAAGCTGTCATTTTGTTCTTTGCCCTTGGCTCACCCTTCCTTTTTCATGCAGGGTAGGGACCCTGACTCAGGGCCTTAGAGGAAGGTGTAGAGGCTTCTTTTCCAAGAGCTGAGCTGGGATGTCTTTGATCTGGATTCTCTTAATCATCCAGCTCTCCTATTGTTTTGCTCACATATTTGCATGGAATCTGTGCAGCAGGAGGTGTGTTCTCCCAGAAAGAAAAATGTAACTAGCCTCTAATTAATGACATAATGAGTTTTAAAGTTTAGCCCTTAAAGTTTTTTTCAGCTTCCTCCGTTCTTGTTTTATAAAATAGTTATAATCTTTTGACTCCTTTCCACATTTACCTTCCGAGTAGTACCATGTCATTTAACTCAGTTGTGGGGAAAAATAATGTCTATATGTTAAAGTGGCTCATCATTTGATATATTAAATTTAATTTTCAGAGCAAGTCATTAACCTCAGTGGAATACAGTGACAGGTGTGTATAGTACAAAATTGTTCTCGGTCTTTATAATGCAAGTAGAAAGGCACAATGCAGCCTGTTGCCTTTAGCAGTGGGAGTGCAAACAGGCTGCAAGCCACTGCCTCTGACTGCTATCTAGAGGCTGTATAAATTCTTTCAGAAATGCCTTATGACTCCTGTCTTTTAACTTGACATTGCTGTCCACATTAAGGGTCAATGCCTCACCTACTTTTCTAAAAATGCATTTCTAAGTCAGCAGTTGCCAAACTATGTTCTCTCCTTTTTATATGTAAATAATGTTATACAGGAATGCAGCTATGCTTCTTCGTTGATCTATTATATCAGACTGCTATTGTTCTATATTAGTAGTAGATGTGAGAGAAATCATATGGTCTGCAGACCCTTTGTCTGGAGTTTTGCAGAAAAAGGTGTCAGTTCCTTCTTTGAGCTCTGGTTGGTTTGAGATTCTCTTGCTATGTAGAGTTGTTGTCTACATAGCTTAGGTGGTGAATCAGTTGACCTGGTTTACATTGTTGAATAGTGATTTTTTTCCTTGACCAAGACATATGTAGTGATATTAGCCTAAAAACTTGGCAAACAATGTATCCTCACCCAGCACAACAATAAAGAAAAAAAAAAAGAACTTGGCAAGATCTCCTTATGCTGCTCTCTGGTGGTAGTGTTTTTACCAGTGCACTTTTTTCTGGCACCATCAGATGTCATTTTTTTTTTTTTTAAATAGTGTATGGTGAATGTTCAGGCTGTGCTGAATTGCACAATCAGCCATATTGTATTCACATACGTGGAGATGAAGGACAAGACACCTGCTGGCTTTGATAATCCACTTACTAGTGTATGGGGCATGACCTCCCTTTTGTGGTATTTTTACAACTGTATCATCTAGAATTAAAAATAATGACTTTGGCACAAGTTCTTTTATTTGAAATGCCCTACACACATGCAAATTCTCCTTCGCATACAGCTTCTTAGAAGATTATGTCCTGCAAAATACTGTGTTGTTACTTTTGGTACTTATTTCTGTCACAAATGCTTACTATATATTTTTAAAAATAATTATTGTACACTAAGCTACTACCATATGTTCGCTTTACAAGATGACTAGTTGTAAGACTGGAAGCTATGTTGTGGCTTTCATAGAGGTTTTTAACATTTGCCTCCCCACTTTTCATTGAGACCCATCTTATGGGACCTTGTTCTTTGAAGAAAAGAAGTTTGCCTTTTAGGTACATTCAAAGATTATCATGACTACTATGAAGTTAGAGTACTTTTTTCCCCTTGTAATGATGACTACTGCAATAGTGGTAGCATCTTCATCAGAGAATAGCTGGAGGTCATAAGAGATGACACATTGAAGCTGTTTTTCTCTGAAGACCTTCTATGCATACAACTGTGGTTCCTTTACAGAAGTATCTTGTGCTGTCAATCATCTCTACAGTACATGCTCTGTGGTTGGGCAGTTACTCGGACAAACTTATTGCTATGATGTGATGATTATTATCTATTGGATATACAACTGTGTTTATGGAATGGAGCCAGGATATGGGTCTGATTGTTTCTGTTATAGCAAGGGCCCTGGCAGGCTTCAGAGAGTGGATGTCATGGTGATTTGTACTCAGGTTTAGATTCATAGAGCTAGAGCTGGTTCTGTGTTCTGCCTCTGTTCCTTATGGACCAGAAGATATTGTGCAAGTTACCTAGCCCTTCTGAAGTTTACTTCCTCAGTAGTAAAACACAAAATTAGAATATGTAATAAAATATTATCAGAAGTTTGTAGAATCTGTGTTTAATAGCCACAGAGATGATGGTAGTAAGATGAGCTCTCAGTATATTGCTCCTTCAATGGGAAAAAGAATAATTATAGAAAAGCATTAGTCAAATCAGTTTGGGCTGTGAAAGTTGGCTCAAATGATAGAGCACCTACATAGTAGCCATTGAAACCCTAAGTTCAAATCCTAGTATCACTAAAATAAGAACAAAACAATCAACCAAACAACCCCAGTGTGTGGGGGGTGTGTGTGTGTGTGTTTGTGTGTGTGATTGCCTGCAGATTCTCTTCATTGCAGTAAAAAAAAATATTTTTTTCAATTTAATAGATGAAATAAATACTCCAGTACATGCGGGATAAAAACTTGACATTAGGGGAAAAATCACTCTATAGTGTATATTAAAAAATAAAACATACAGTAGCTTCCCCCACTTGTGAATCAAATGGGAGAAGTCATACTCTTTCCATACCAAGTATACCCCTAATTCAAACAAAAAAAATAATGACATACAAAAAAGGTAGTTAAATCTGTGTCTAAGGAATGAAAACTGAGGTAACCTTTTAATTAAAAAAAAAAAAAAGAAGAAATGAACCCATGACTTCCTTCCTGACCCAAAATAATAAAATTGAATTGATGGGCTGGGATGAGGGCAGTGCCACAACCAGTAATTACTTATCTTCTGTTTCCCAGTTCCTGCTGGGTATGGGTGGGTGGATTCCTAGATCCTCCAGGTGCTTGTGGAAGTTGTGTGCATAGCCCTGCTTTTTGAAGATTCCTCTTGAGCATTTAAAGTGGGGAGGGGAGATAGGGTCACCTATGATTTCTTTGGTATAAATGGAGAGGGGCAGAAAATAAGTGTCTCCCTTTAGCCTGGGGGGTGTGTGTAGGGGAGGAAGTGGTGCCAATTCACAGAGTTTGAATTTACTGGCAGTAAAGAACTGGGCAAAGACCTCTCCCTTAAAAGCCTGAGATTGCAGGTGCAGCCATCAGACACGGCACAGGCCAACAAAGTTACACACACACACACAACCTACCCATTAGGGTGCTGTGCCAGATCCTTGAGGTAGTGGCTTAGGAGTACGCAGGTGGATAGCATGCTCATGGCGCTGTCCATGATCGCATTGTGCACTGCCTTGCACTCCTGTGCTATCCAGGAAGTGTGGCTTGGTGGTGAAGCCAGCCAGCACACACATCTGCACCAGGGCCCACTGAAGAGTGCGCAGCAGGTGCGTCCCTGCTCACAGGGCGCCACCTTGACCTGGCGTATGCAGGCCAGCAGCGCGAATGTGCTTGTGCTCTTGGCAGTGAAAATTTCTATTCTACTAGGTGTTTCCAAAACTGATTCGTGATGCCACACTATTTGCCAATTCAACCATCTTGTTAAACAATTAACAGTAATTATACAGTAGAATGTTTTCAGTAGAAAAAGCTTAATAGCAGCTAAGGGCAAAGAATTATGTAGTTCTGGGTAAGGAATGTTTATTTCTTTTCTTGAATAAGTTATCTTTAAAGTTAAAAATACATTGTACCTTCTTTTGATAGTACTATCAAAATATTATTAGGAGATTATTAGGAGGTGTTGTAGAGTCCTAGAAGGAAATCATAAAATTCTCTGTTTCCCTTTTATCCTATAGCCTAGAGTAAAACATCAATAGTTGTTCCCATACTTTCTCATTTCTTTTTGGAGATACCCAGCTGTACAGTGAACAAATGACTTAGCCAGATTGAGTTCTGCTCAAAACACTATCTCTGAATGAGAGCTCAAGAGCCCAGTTTTCTTCATGGTTTTGCAGTTTATTTCACACTTTCATAGATGGTCTCCCCGTTAGTCCTGGACTGTTCCTACTTATTTGGCTGTAAACGGAGGAAAGGAGCTTGCTTGCCCCTTCTCTTTTTCTATGTTAATGTTTCTTTGCATCCTTGTCATTTTCTTCTGATATTTAGACCCTGGTCTCTGTCAGAGGCTCGTGGACAGCAAGTCTGAATTTTACCACCCTATGTGTAGTTTATGTGTAGTCACTTGTCTTTTTTGTGTTAACCTCATTATTAGTTCCACCTGAAACCTAGCACTCAGCACTTTATCCTGAATAAATAGAAAGGCCATTTAGGATCAGATATACATAGGAAGTGGCCATTCCCTAAATTTGTTTCAATTTCATCTTACAGTTCATGAGACAGTTCCTGAAAGTGTATGTGAACTGTAATATAGAGCCTCAAGCATGTCAATTCCATGAAATTGTAATCTAGTTAGATCACATGAATTATGACTGCATTCATGTATTGTTTACACCAAACAAGATGATATGTACATCTTCCTTTGAGTAGTAATGAAAAGAAAATTCCTGTCAGCTTAATTTATCACTAGGCATGTTCTTATTTAAAGCCATTTAGAGTGAAATAAAAGCTTGACCTAAGATTATAGTTAATAAAACTTGACAGAAGCTTTGATTGTGGTATAAAATAATGTTGGAGCCTCATCTGCCATAACGAAATCTTTGTAGATCATATGAGAAACTGTTAAATGCAGTGAGTGTTCCTAAATGTGGAAACAATTCAGCTAATCCCTCCAATCACAAAGCTAAGAGGTCATCTGCTCCAAATCCCCGAGATACCCCTGAATTGTCAAGAACCTTATCAGGCCACCTCATTTGGGCCAAAACCACAGCCAGTGTGCCTCCCACCATTCCCTCTCAGCCAGGGCAGAACTGCTATAGTCCTGACATTTATCACAAATTTATTTACTCTTTCATTCCATCATATCCCCAAGGCAGTGGCAGGAAGGAAAAAGGAACCTCTTTACTATAGAAAATGGGGCTAGTGGAATGGCCCAAGTGGTAGAGAGCCTGCCAAGCAAGTGTGAGGCTCAGAGTTCAATCCCCAGCACCACCAACAAAAGAAAAAAAGTCTACTATAGAAAATGGTTTAAAATATCCCATTGGTACGAGTTTTCATACATACATGCATTCAACAGGGTTCGGCAGAGCAATGAGGTCCACAGACAGGCTCTGGGCCTGGGTAGCTTAGACTAGTATAGTGTTTCTGGAATTCAGCAGTATTCATATTTTAAGCAACATCCCTGTTAGTACCCGCTGGATGAGTATGAGCTCCCACTTGTGACAATTAAAATGCCTCCAAGCATTCTCAGATATGAGGGGGTGTACATTACAGTTTTGTTGTGGCAAACAGACAAACATACAGGAAAAAAAGTATCAGATGCACACTGTGTATCAAAGTAAGCCTGAGCACCATGACGTGCTGATAGAATAGAAGAGGTGCCTTTCAGAGTATTTGCAAATCCTCTCTCTTTCTTCCTGTCTGAAATTTAAACACCTTGTAGTTCTTCTTGACAAGCTATACAGGTTTGTTTATATTATAACGAATCATGACTTTTTAAACATTATAACTAAAGGCTGTTTATGCAAAATTATTATTTCTGTTATTTTAAGGTTAAATATTGCTTATGTTGAATACTTATGAAGTAGCAATGAATTTTTTTTTCAGTTATTCAATGGTAATTATATGATACAGTCCTGTTACTATAGTTGTGCAATATTGAATGTGGGCTGATGAATGTAGATTTGTAGAGTCAAGATGCAGATGGCTTGAGAGGTGGAGATTGAGAGGACCTCAGTTCGAGGCTGGCCTGGGTAAAAGGTTAACAATACCTTATGCTAATAAATAAGCCAGCCATGGTGGTATGCACCTGTCATCCCTGCTATGCAGGAGTCTGACATAGGGAGAATCATGGTTCTAGACCAGCTTAGGCAAAAAAGTTTGAGAGATGCCATCTCATTGCGCAAAAAAAACTCATTATGGTTGTATGTGCCTGTTCTCTGAGCTTTTGTAGGAAGTATAAAATAGGATCGTGATCCAGGATGTCCTGGGCAAAAAGCAAGACCCTATCTCCAAAACAACCAGAGCAAAAATGGGCTGAAGGTGTGGCTCAAACAGTAGAGTGCTTGCCTAGCAAACATGAAGCCCTAAGTTCAAACTCCAATACCACAAAAAGAAAGGTACTGATATTTTCTGTAAGTCACTATATATATCTATAGATCTATAGTTATATATGCAAGTGTAAAATCTCAGATCTTTAAATATTGTGCAAGAGATTTAATAACTTCATGAACATTATTTTGATATAGTTGACAGTAAAGAACTGTGGAACCAGATTTCTTTGGTTTGAATCTTGCGTCCACCATGAACCTTTGGCAAAAGGTGTTTTTCATATCTGTTACATGGGGATAGATTTAATCCTTTGTTTATGCAATAAATATTTATGGAATTTTTAGGTTGATAATTTTGGTGATGGGAAAGACAAGCACAATCTTTTCCCTCTCACTGACAAGTACAGAGGCTGACATGTATAAAATCATCATTATAAGTAATTAATTATGACCAATATTTGTGTGACATATTCATGATATTGGTTTATTGTGGTAGTGGTATCTGAATTAGTTCATGGCTGTTAAAGGTGAAGTATGAAGAATGCTGGCTAGGGTACATATGGTTGGTGTAGAAAGGAGTAACAATGTTTACAGCCATGGTAATAGTGTATAGGGAGGCTAATGGTGTAGTAGAGGAATAAGAATGCAGAGATAGAACATCTGGGTTGAGACTGATGTTTTCATTGCTGCTTACATTAATGAGATTCGTTTGTAGCTCAGGAGTAGAGCACTTACCTAGCATGTATGAGGCTCTGGGTATTTTAGATTGAACTTTCAAAATGATGTATTTAGACCAAGAATTTAAAATTTTTATATTAGTTCTGAAAACTTACTAAAGCAATAACGTGCTAGGGATATAGATCAAGTGGTAGAGCACCTGCCTAGCAAGCCTGAGTATGAACCTCAGTACTGCAACCACACACATACACACACACACCTGAAAGATCCTGTAGTGTGGAAGTTAATATTTGAGTATCTTAATAGAAACTTCTAGGAGATTTATATATTGTGTTCCTCCATGCCATTTCTCTCTGCTCTCAATCACAATCTTTCAGTCTCATGGAAAAAAAAGTTTACATCTGTAAAATCTAAGACCACTAAGAGTATGTAAAGCCTGGTTTTTATCTGATCTTGCCCAAAATTATCACCCATGTTATCTGTGCGATAGAGAGCATGAAATCAGAACAAAATAACTTTATCTTCCCTGAATACTAAAGAGTTCAATTTTGTGCTGTGTTTTACATGGCACAGCAGAGGTAGATTGTTTAATATTGGTAACTCTGAACTTCCTCAACCTTTCTGTCAGATATTCAGGTAAGTGTTGAGAAGCAGATATGGAAGAATAATTTCTACAGAATATTATAGAGAACCCTGGAGCAAACTATTTGAATTCATTTCCCTTCTTTTCTCCACAGTTTTTCTTTGTCTGTTTGAACAGTGTTCTCATGGGTCAGAAAGATTGAGTTTCTAGTCACATATCTTAAATTGCTTTATAATTGCCTTACTTTATAAAGCAGACATATCCTGGTACTGTGAAGACTGAAAATATGCAGAAGAAATTAATCTGAACCTATTAGAAGTATGACAAGGGTTGGAAACTAACTTTGGAAAAACTCTCAACAGGCATGATAACGTGTAGAAAGCAAAAATTATGTGCCTCAGACATTTGTTCTCAGCTCCAATTTCAACCTGGTTATGGATCATACATAAAGGAGTTTAATACAGAATGATATAACCCACATTTAAATGACAAAAACAGTTTAAATGTGGGTTGGAATTTTCAAAGTACGGTAGATTAGAGCATAGAAATTCTAGATTTCAATCTGGCGAAGCCTCTATTTCTGCTTCCTCATATTTTTTTTTCACAAAGTTACATACATAACAAATTTTTAAGGCCTTCTAATTTTCCAAGCATCTATAATAATACACTTCTCTATAAAATGGACTCCATGTGTACTTTCATGGTTTAAAAATGAAAAGGTCATGGCAGAGTCTGAAGTAATTCAAAATAGTGATTCATTAAAATTAGAATAGGAAATTCAGTATAATTTTTACTATAAGTACATGAAATATCCTTTAGGAAAATTTAAACCTTGTTATTCTTTAAGTCTTTTAGAACAAAATCTAGACTTTCAAAAATTCTCTCTGGGTATCTATTCTGAGACCCCAGGTGTCTTGTGGGTGAACCTCAGAGTGTGTGCATTCTGTAATCCAGGTGAAACTTCCTGTAGACCTTGCTTCATTAGTGGACATGAGGAAAAAAGGAGGTGGTCTTTGCACTCTTTCTGTTTTTGCTGGTTAATATTGATCTTAGGATTGCATTTCTTATTTTCTTACTCAGTCAATACAATATTACTACTTTTCATATCTGTTATTTTTCCTTAAGTGATATCTGAAATAC